CGCCATAGTATTTGCAATTAATAAAACTAATTTAAATCCGCGTATTGCTCGGTGGACGTTACGCTTACAAAATTACAAATTTAAAATCGTTCATAGAAAAGGGGAACGAATGGCCCATGTGGATGCTCTCAGCAGAGTGGTGGCCTCAGTAAATTCCATACCTCTTGAACGCGAATTACAGCTACGTCAACTCACCGATCCACATATTAAGAGTATCGCTGAACTTTTGGAAGAGAATAGCCATGATAAATACGAAATTTTCGATGGTCTCGTTTATCGTAAATTTCCAGATAAATTGCGATTCTACGTTCCGGAACCAATGATTGCGAATTTACTTCGGATATATCACGAAGAAAACGCTCATTGTGGTTGCGAAAAGACCTTTCAAGGCCTATTCTGTAACTACTGGTTTCCTTCTATGAGGAAGAAAATCCAGTCTCACATAGAAAATTGTTTAACCTGTCTAATTTCTAACGCTTCGTCCCATACTAAGGAAGGAGAAATTCAGTTATCAGATTTACCTCGGATACCTATGCATACAGTGCATATGGACCACTTCGGTCCACTTCAAGAATCTCGTTCGGGTTATAAACACATATTGGTTTTGATTGATGCATTTACTCGGTTCACCTGGATGTTCCCAGTGAAGTCCACCAATTCAAAGGAAACAATCTCGGTTTTAACTCCTATCTTTAACGTCTTTGGCAACCCGGTAGAATTAATTTCGGACAGGGGTACTTCATTTACTTCCTCCGAATTTGAAAATTTTCTTTCTCAACGCAATATTAAGCATCATCTAATCGCAGTTGCTGCCCCATGGGCTAATGGCATATGTGAACGAGTGAATCGTTTCCTCAAATCGTCGCTAAGAAAATTAGTTGAGGATCAAGACACGTGGTCCGACAAGGTCGAAACGGTTCAATATATCATGAACAATACCTTTCATAGCTCAATTAAAACGTCACCTTCAATGCTCTTACTCGGATATGAAAAAAGAAATCAATCAGACTCTCCGTTAATTAGATTTCTGGACAAACTCTCGCAAACAACTATATCAGATCAGTCAGTCGAGGATTTACGGGA